TCTGGCGAGGGATCCTAGTTGCTGTGCTTCGTGACCTGCCAATATGTGAGCTCTAACTCCACTGTCTCGGCATCGAAGCAACCACGATAGAATTCCTTCACCAGGCTGATGAGTGTAATCTTTTCGCAAGTCTTGGAGTTCTGCCAGGGTAATTGATCACAAAACTTCACTTTCCATTCTCGGGGGTTTTTGTTTTGGTTGAGTACTGGCACTGGTATCAGTATCGGACCCCTCCCCACACTATCATCTGACTTGCTTTGATCTCCCATTGGTTGTAGACTTGCGCTGTTGGGCATTGATACCCATCTCTTCTGTGTCACTAAAGGAGCAAGGAGTATCTCAGGTGGCGTAGTTCTGCTTCCAGTGGATATAGTAGAGGTGGTGTTGGTCCCAGGTGGCATGGTTTGAGTTTCTGCCTCAGCCTTAGCCTTCCGAGAGTAGTCAACAGCAGCTCGATAAGCACTCGCCAGGCCCCAGTACAAAGCAAAGAACTGCATATTTGGATCCTCATAAGAAAAACACCCTTCTGCTAAACAATGTGCCATCTCATCAGGACCAAACACTTGTTCTGGCATGAAGTCATAACTGATGGGAGGTGTGACACGTCCTACCAATTTGCCAAAATTCACCCACATTCCTTGCCATCCAGAGACTGGCTTTTTCAAGGCCCTTCCCAAAGTTCCAGTGAATCCTTTCAAGGTTCAGTGTTTCCTGCAACAAGGAAAGCAGTACCACACTACCTTTCCAATTTTAAATAACACTTTCATGGCCTTTATCAATAATAGCACCATTGCTAAACAATTTATGTGAGGATTGGGGCCAATTCTAATCCAAGGGACCTTGGCTACTAGGCCCTTGATGTCATAGGTGAGGAAAGGTAGAAACTGGTAGATTCCTTCTGGTTTCCTTCTTATAGGAAATCCATAGATCTATATAAAATTGGCTAGGATGATCAAAAAAATGAATAAAAAGGCCATGTTTATATATTCTTTCTCTTTGTTCCCAAACAATAAGTATGTTTATATAAACAAAAAACCTTCTTGGCAGCTGTCCCAGTAGTGTCCCAAAACAATGGCTATGTTTGTACCAAGTTGGCTCACTTCCCAGACTCTGCTCCCACAGCAATTATGGTAAACCAAAATAACCGGGCAGAAACACCAAAACAATAACATGTGGTGGTTTGGAGCTGCCTCCCTTCCAAGTCTCCAAACCCCACCGCAAGAGGTCCCTTCCTCCCCAAACCAAAAACCAAGGGAGAAGAGAAAAGACCAAGAGAACCAAAATAAGAGAGGGAGAGAGAAAGCAATATATACATTTAAATCTATATATAAATATATAAATATATTTACACTTACACAATCTGCTTACAAATAACTTTCAAACTTAAAGCAAAAACTTAAGCACCCACCCTAAAGCAAAAGCAACTTACAAATAAGTAAGACAACTTCAAAGAATAAGTAAAGCAAAGACTTCAGTAGCCGCCCTAAAGCAAAAGAACTAACAAAGGATAAGTCAAAATTTTAAAGTCCTATGGAGCAAAAGTAAAATTAGTGTATATGTGTAAAACAATCACTCACCCCACTGCGTCCTGAGAAGGTGACAGGAGAAAAGGTATCCTGTCGGTTACTTCTGCAGCGCTGATGGAACTTCTCCCCAGTTTTTTGCTTATACCTTTTTCTTTAGGCAGTTTTTGAGTGACTATAGTCAATAAACTAATTTGGGGATGATAGACAGATGAAATGCACCTAAGGGTCCACTTCCCGAGTTCTCAGGAGCCAGGATGTTCATGAGAAAAGGCTATGTTATCTCCGCATCACTCCTTTCTTCATTTTAATCCTTTTTATCAGTTTCTGGGAATGTTTCCCCAGATGCAAGGTTTTTCCAGGAAACCATCAGGAGCCTTTTTCTTTCGTGTGACCTTATCTATCACCTTACAGGGCCCATGGGCTTGTACATGTCAAGTTTGTTTTGGTGTCCTCCTGACATTCACTTATTCTGGTCTCCTACGTCAGAGGTCCCCAAGGGCTGGTCATAGCAGTGAAGATGTATGCAAAGAAGGCATCCAATAACTCTGCCTTCTCTGTGTCCTCTGTTACCAGGGTCCCCTTTCCTGTTACTAATGGGCCAACATTATTCTTAGTTTCCCTTTTGTTATTGATCTATTTTAAAAAGTTCTTTTTGTTACCCTTGGCATCCTTGGCCAGATTTAGTTCTAGATGGCCTTGGCCTTTCTAGTGTCATTTCTACTTCTTCTGACCAACTCTCTATATTGACTCTAAGTGGACTGAACTCGCTTCCATCTCCTGTGAAATTCTGCTTATATTTGAGCAATGACAGGAGTTCTTTATTCATCCACAGAGGTCTCTGGTGCCCTTGGCCTGATTTCTTTCTCATTGGGATGCATCATTCTTGAGCCTGGAGGAAGTCAGCTTTGAATACTGACCCACTCTCTTGAACCCTTCTTCCCTGCACAGCCCGCTCCCATGGGCTTTTTCCAAGAATATCTCTAAAGAGGCTAAAGTTAGCTCGCCCTTTGAAAGGTGAGTGACTCTGATGACTCTTTGGCTCTCCAGTTCACAAATCATCTTGTGGATGGGAATCATGAGTCTCAATTTGTTCAGTATTGTTGATGATGCACTGTCCTGGTTGCAACTGGTACTTGCTCTGTGATGGGATGACACACAGACCTGTGGCTTGATGGACAGAAATCGTTTTATTGCTAATGATCCAGGGTTTTCATGTCATTCACTCTCAAGTGGGAGTGGTTAATCTAAATAAGGCAGTCCATACATCAACCACTCTTACAGGCCGGCCGACTGCACAGACACCATGCACACAGACCCTGGAGTTTCAAGTTACCCTTATTTGCCCCTGCATGGTAAACTGCAAACCAAGAGCTCAACTCCATTCCATGGACAGTAAATTAAGGCTTTAGATAGATAGATAGATGTAATCATCACGAGATTCGCCACTTTAAGGGGAAGGGGTCAAAGCATACAGCCTTTAATAACGATCTTAAAACTATAACATTAAAACCATAACATTCTAAACAATACAGCCGATAAAAACAGAACTATAAAACATTAAAACTGTAAAAATTAATAAAAGATACTACGACAAGGATTAAAAACAATAAAAAAGAATCTGCTTACGAGTAGCTGTACAGGTCTTGCTCACAAACGTGTATGATATTGATGGAGGTGAAGAGTGCTCTAGATGCCATAGCCCGAGCTACTCTCTCTTGTCTGGATGATGATAGTCCCAGAGTCTGTAACAGATCAAAATTTTTATTATACCATTTTCCTCTTGCTCCAAGGGGAAAACCTACAAAGTGACTTTTTTGGTATTAGTTAGTTCTTGGATTTTTTTCTCATGATGCACAAAAAAAGCAGATAAAACTGTTTAGACAGAGTTTTATGCCTAAAACAGCAGGTATTTATTTATTTATTTAATGGCCAGGCAGCCTGCCAGCTAGCGCTGGGAAAACAGGCTCCACAATGATTGAATAGAACAAGCAATTTATACAGCTTCTGACAATGATTACAACATAATCATATGCATATTCATATTATTGTATCATTAGATTACAATATTCATAGCAGGTGGAGTCAGGGCGGAGTTTGAGGCATGGTCTCCATTTTGAGGAATATTTTAGTGGGAGTTCCTGTTTGCCTTCATCCTGGGGTTTCCTTTCTCAGTCCTCATCCTCGCGTAACCTCAGGGACCTTTCGGACTTTCTATTGTTCTGTGTTATTGTCCCAGGTTGGACTTGGCACCCAGCCAAGTGCCTGGACCCCGGGGACAAAACCTTCCCCCTCCCTTTCACTTTTTCCCAGCTGACCGAAAAAAACCCAAAAGAACCCAAACCAATAGGCCAAATTTAAGAAACTCTTCAATTATGGGTGCTAAACCTTGACAATTTTCTAGCTTCAAGAGGTATTGTTTTTGTCTTACTGGTGTTGCTCCTGGCTTGTGTTGACGGAGGGGCTCGGGTACATATGGGGCACAAAAAATTAAAAAAAAATCAAAACATCAAAACTCCAAGGTATCACTACATACATGTAAGACATAATAAGGGTTGAAATGCCTTTGAATCATTTCCCACAGCAGATGAAAGACTCTGAATAAAAGAGGATTCGAGACCTCTTGGAGCACTGCTTTGTCCAATCGTTGAACTGAGTTGGTTACATATGCAGAATCTGTAACAACATTAACTGCACAAGGAAAATGTTGAAACGCTACAGTAACTGTGCATAGTTCAACTACTTGAGGTGAACCATCCTGGGATTCAATGATGTGTCGCCACCGGTGACCATCGTATCCGGTCACAGCTGCTTTTTTCGTTTTTCCAGATCCATCTGTAAAGACAGGTGTACTGCTACAAAGAAGTTTCTGTCCCATAGAAACGTGATTGTAAAGCTTACACAAAGGATGAGATGGCAAATGGTAGCTGATAGTGCCTGTATAATTAGTTAATGCCACCTGCGAAGTGGAACTGTTAGCCAAACACCATTCAAAATAATCAAATTGCGCAGGTACCACTATGGCTTCAGGATCACGTGCCATAAGTTCTGTGCAGTGGGAATGTGCCTTAACAATTAGCTGTGCCAGGAGCTCTAACAAACCAGGAGCGGTCTTCTTGGAGCAAACTGACAAGAAAAGCCATTTCAGTACATGCAAGGGGTCCTCCTCTCTGGAGGCACAACTAAACCATACTGCTTTAAAGAAGCATGGGTGTCAGACTCCATGAGAAACAGCATTTCACTGGAAGCAGCTGCTAAAAGGATCTCATCCATATAGTGATGGCAGTATCCTTCAGGAGTTTATTGTGGGGATGGGGGCTTATAAGGCTTTTTGGGGGATTAAGAAAGAACCAATTACAGAGTCAGGGTACTACAGAAAAAAACCAATCAGGTAAAGAGTTAATAGCCAATAGAAAAGGGTTAACAAAGGCCAATGAGAAGGCCTCAGGATATCTTCCCAGGACATTCCTGCATAAGAGTTCTTTGCAGGGGGTGTCGGGAAGGAGAAGCAGTGACTTTGCAAAAATACAGAAAAGCCATTTTAAGATATGTTTAAACAACATTAAAAACTTCTGTTTCTATAACATTTGAGCTGTTTTCTTCTTTTCCTTCACCAGTCCATCTCTGACAGGACCTTACTAGTATGGATGGTATCCATCGTGGACCTGTTCCTTTGGAGACACAAGCGTGCTGTCGTGGTTTTGCTCTGGGTCAATCTGCTTTCACAACCCCCACACAATTACTATTAGTTGAGAGAAGGTTTACGCAGACAAAAGAGACAGGATTTGGGGAAAATAATATAAACATTTATTACTAACAAAATAAAAACTATTAAATAATTATATCTACAATAATTCTACTTAAGTAAAAGTGCTATGTATTTACAGAAATACTCCTCCCTCCTTTATATATCAGTCCAAGGAGGAGAAGTATTTTTTTTCTCCATTCTCGGAGTTCCAGCTCTCTCTCTAGTAACTCTCTTACTCTGGCCTCAAGTTTGGAAGTGGGTTCACCATCTCACTTCTTCGTGTTTTCTCCCTTGCTGCGCAGATAGGACCACAGTTGATTGCGTGATCTTCGTCTGGGGTTTCTTCTCCTTCTGCATGCTAAGGAAGGAAACCGTGAACGAGGCTGGGACCAAGATCGAGGTCGAAATCGTGGTCGAAACCACTTTATTGGTTTGCCTCTATAGTCTCTATAATCTATGTAAACTCTATCATTTGTGTTCCTATAGTCGTTTTCATATCTGAAATATTCATAGGGCCTCTCCATTGCTTCCTTAGGATGGGTAGGTCGGTGTTGGGCATCAGAGGACCTTTCCAAATTTTCTGCTATAGTCCTTATCCATGAACACATGGTGTCCACAGTTGGTTCATCCGTTTTTGGGTTGTATATTGATATTAAGCAGTTGAGGTATGATGCAGGGGCACCTCTAATCACTTGCCTCCACATTGGCTCTGTACATGAAATCTTCTCTGGTTCCAAACAGTCATAGTAATCTGAGTTGCAATAAATGAGTTCCAGCATAGCTAATTCTCGTAAGTATTGGACGCCTTCTTCTGCACTCGTCCACTTTTTTGGAGAACTCATTAGGTATTCTTTAAATGGGTATTTTTCCCTCACAGCATAGAGGATTCGGAGCCAGAGACTGAGATTGTATGTCTCTCTTGCGATTTCTTGTTCTATTTCACGGTCCTGAGCGAGGGATCTTAGTTGCTGTGCTTCTTGACCCTCTAACAAGTGGCTTCTGGCCCCATTATCCCAACATCGTACCAGCCAGGTGAGAATTTGTTCACCAGGCCGGTGGCTGTAATCCCGTCGTAGATCCCAGAGCTCTGCTGGGGTTTCTGTCCAAACAGTTAGTATTTTTAAACTTTTTTTTCCTTCACTTTCTTACGGAAGAGAAAGGGGGGCTTCAGTGCTACACTTGCCCCCCCCTACCCCGGCCCAAGCCGGGGGAGGAGGGAGTCTGGCCCTGCTCAGGCCCGCTGCTCTTCTACATGGCTGCTGCCCCTAATTTCAACTGCGCAACAAGTCTTCTCTTCCGTTTTCTTAAAGATGTAATTAGCAAAGGCGTCACTGAACTTTTTGATTGGCTTTTTGTCTGGAAATCACCTGGACAAAACCATCCTCAGCCCCAGGGATGGGCTGGTGGGCAAAACCACGACACGTGCCCTCTTCCCCAAACAATTAGGGGGACAGGACCGAGCCATTCTCCTGTCAGGATATCCTTGTATTTTACCTTAGCTTCCCCCGTTTTTAATTTTCCAGCTCCAAAATGATGTCCAACAGGCGAAACATCCTCATGCAGTCTATTTAAAAAATTGAGGACATACAATGCCTTGTTTAAACATCCTGAAGGAGAGATACCTACAGTTGTTTTTTCTTGTTTTTTCAGCATATCTTTTAAAGCAGAAATGTAAACTGGGTCATTATCTGTCTTTATTTGTTTTGGAATGCCCATTATGGCAAATGCTGAGGAAAAGCGTCTCTTGACATCTTTAGCTTTTTCTCCTGTATGTGCAGTGGCAACAATGAGTCCTGAACAGGTGTCCACTGATACATGTACATATTTCAATCTGCCAAATTGTGGCACATGTGTAACGTCTGATTGCCAGAGATCTAAGGGGCTAAGGCCTCTCGGATTAACTCCTTCAGATCTCACTGGAGTTCCCAGCTGGCAATCTGGACATACAGACACAGTGGCCTTGGCTTGAGAGCTAGACAACTGAAACATTTTTTGCAGTGATTTAGAATTTTGATGGAAAAAGTTATGAGAAATTTTTTCTTTCTCAAAATTGTTAGGTGTAGGTACTGAGTTAACTGGAAAAGCTGAATTTGCTGCTTTATCTGCCACAGTGTTCCCTTCTGTGAGTGGGCCTTGGAGGCATGTATGTGATCTAATGTGAGTGATATAGAAAGGATGTTTCCTCTGTTGGATTAATAGTAACAGTGTTTTAAACAGTGTAAACAACTTTTGATTGTTCAATTCCTTTAAGTAGCTATTTTCTATGCAACTTACAATTCCTACAATGTAGGCAGAATCTGATTTAAATTCAGAGGCTGTGGAAAAAGCAGGGATGCTCTTACCGTGGTTGAGAGTTCAACAATCTGAGATGAACCTTTGACTTGATGAACATCTGTTTTCCAGTCTCCTTTTTCAAACCAATCTACTACTGCATTCCTAGACTTCCCAGATCCATCAGTAAACACAGTCACAGATTTCTTCAAAGGGCTAGTAGAAAAGTTATTTCTCAGTCTGGGTTGGGAGATGGAAAGAAACAGCAGAAAAGGAATTGCTGGTAAATGGGTTATTAGTTTGCCTGTAAAATCTGACATAACCAGTTGAAAATCAAACAGATGTAAATCGTAATAACGCAATTGAGATTTGGACAATGGAACATAAAGAAAATCTGGGTCCTTCCCTGATTTGTACCCTGATCAGGTAAAGTAACAATTGTCTTTGAAAACTGGTGACTGAGACATACCCATTCCCACAAAAGAAATTTTTTGGTTTTTGAGTCCAATTGTCCTACTACAGCAAAAGGCTGTTTTGGTCCACGAAAGATTAACAATGCAGTAGGTAATCCTTCTACTCTCCTGTTTACCTGTTGTTCTGAAATTTTTTGATTGATCACTTCAATAATATTCTCTGCTCCTGGTGTAAAGTGCCGAGGAGAAGTAAGTTCTGCTTCTCCTTTAAGGAGCTGAAACAAAGGAGCTAAAAAATCTGTTGAGAAACCAAAAAAGGATCGTATCCAATTGAGATTTCCCAAGAGAGACTGCAAATCATTTAGTGTTTTTATTTTGGTGGACAAGGTTCCTGCTTGAGGCCTAAATGTTCTCTCATCTATTAGCAGGCCGAAGTACTTCCACGGGGAAATTTTTTGTTCTTTTTCTGGAACTATTTCTAACCCATGATTACCCAGGGTTTTTTTTCACAGACTCATGTACTAATGTCAATTTGTCAGTATTAGGGGCTGCAACTAGTATGTCATCCATGTAATGGAAAATGATAGTTTCAGGAAATTGAGATCAAACTGGCTCAATTATATTGGACACTACAGACTGACATATTGTGGGGCTACTTTTCATCCCCTGAGGTAACGTTAGACAACTTAGACGTTTGGAGGGTTTCGTTGCACTAATAACTGGAATGGAAAATGCAAATCTGTGTGTATCATTAGGATGGAGGTAGATATTTAAAAAACAGTCTTTAATATCTAAAATAATAAGTGGCCATTCTGCTGGGAGTATGGCAGGGGAGGGCAGCCCAGTTTGGAGGGCTCCCATCGTCTCTGTGATATTGTTGGCTTCTCTTAAATCATGCAATAACCTCCATTTTCCAGATGATTTTTTGATTGTGAAAATAGGAAAGCTCCATAGAGTGTGTGTGTGGACTAACCTCTTTTTGTCTAATTGTTCTTTTGCCAAATTATGAATTTGCCACAATTTCTCTCCTCTGAGGAGCCACTGGTTTATCCACACTGGTGTGTTTGATGTCCGTGTGAGAGGTGGTGCTTGTGGCCCTCCCTCATCACAAATTTGGAATTGATAAGATAATTCCCCACTGTGTTATTACATCTCTGCCTCACAAAGTGAGTGGAATGTCCAATTTAAAAGGCTTAGATGATGCTACCTTACCCTGTGGGCCTTGGACCAGAAGTGGTAAAATGCCCTGGACAGGAATTTTGGACCCTCCTACTCCCTGGATGTCGACAGCTGGTCTTGTACCCCAGATGCTGGGCCAATCTTTGGTAGAGATAATTGTCACATCTGCCCCCGTGTCCAGTAACCCAGACACTGATTTCTGTTGGCCTGAATTAGGAGAGAGAAGAGTACATTCTAGTACAGGTCTGTCAGCAGTAACCTTTTGAGCCCAATTAATGAGAATTCCCTGTTCATTTTAGGTCTCTTCCTCCATGGGTATGACCTGTGCTATTTGATCTTCTGGATTAATCACTGTGGGTACAAAGTTAGGTTTTATTACAACAGACACAACTTTAGGATCTTGAAGACTAATAACCATGGGTAACACAGTAATACCTAATGCAGTTGTAGAATCTGTTCCTGTGATAACACATTCACCTTTACAATCTGAGACCTGAGAAGAGGTAGAAGCCAATAACACAGTGCGATACTCTGCCTTTTCTACGGTTTGAGGATTTGAAGTTGCTAACTCCAATTTAAAGGCACCTGTTTGGGGTTTTTGTTGGGAACTGTTTGAGAGGGGTAGATTGGATTGCTGAGAAGAGCATTCTATGTCTACACGCTGCTCTAAGGGCTGGTTATTGCGTTTCCCGAATCCTGTGTTCTGTGAACAGGCCTGGGTGAGAGTGGGTTTCCCTTTTATTATGATTTTCAACCAGTCCCCATCCGGCCACTTCCCAGGTTCTGCCCCCTGACACGCCTCTTGGGAGTCGAGTCTGGGGGCATTCTTCATCTTTATCTTCCTCAGAGCACGTACTGTTCTTGGAGGTCTTCCAGAACTCTAGGCCTGAAGGTTGTTCTGTCTATGGCTATATCTTCTTGTGCAGATTTTAGGGTGTTCTTTACAATTCTACCTTGAAAATGAGACTAAACAGGTTAAGGGAATTTAG